TTTGCTTATCACACATATGTAGGCACTTTGTGGCCACATTAGTTCTGTGCAGGAATTGTAATGATTCATCAGACCTTCACAGTCTGTGACCCACCACCAGCCACAATGCAGCCACCAGTCATGTACTGTGGCCTGACAGAACTACCTTGTTTGTGCAGTCTCTGGCAAAAGGAAGAGGTTCATGGAATACCTTGCAGGCTGCCATTTGTGAGTATTGGGCTAGCTTTAGGCTTGGCATGTCACAGGTTCTACATGTCTGCTCCTATGCTCTTTGGATTCATTAAGAGTTTAAGATGCAGTCTTTTAGAACAACTAGAACTTTGTTTAAAAAAAGGGTCTTGTGTGACTCAAAAGACTGAACACTGCATTCTCAGAAGCCGGTGAAAATAAAGATTTTTGTTTCAAGTTTTATTGTTTGCTCTTATATTTGAAATATGTAATACATTTAGTAATACGTCTGATTTTACTTGTTGTACGTAACAATGCATAATACTTTACAAATTTGATGAATCGATATTTCTCCCCTACCCCTTTTTTCCTTCTGTGTCCCACTCTTTTAAGAGAAAATAATTTAAAAAATTATTTAAGAAGATTTTTGTTTCACATGCTGCTTGGAAGCTACCAAGGTCCATATACTAAAGAACCATCGGCCTATGAATGTAAGTAAAGCAAGGCATACCCAACCCTAGAAGGAGGATGTTCAATTTGTATGACACTACAGTGAGTGATTATTTAAGAGCCAGCCTGGGGACCATCCATAAATATATTTACATATCAAGGAGAAGAGATTAGAGTGGCAGGAAGCAAGAGGATTTTAACATGCAATTTATGCACTGCAGATCAAGGAAGCATTTTCAGAAGGGGCATAAAACATCTACACTTTGAAAAACCTCCTGGAAATTTAGGTAACCTTTCTGGCATGGACGGTCTTTTATTGATTTTTTCCCCCAAAATCTCATACAGCTTGCGATTTCACAGGCAAATGATACCAATTAATTGATTGGATCGCTCAACAAAAATTTCAGAACTTAACTGTCTTGGTTTGGAACAGAACAGCTTGGTTCAAGGTTCAAGATTCATCTGATGAAGGGGGCACTGACTCTCAAAAGCTTCTGCTCCAAAACTCTTGTTGGTCTCTGAGGTGCTACTGGAATCCAATCTAGTTGTTCAACAAAAAGGGCTAAATTGGGCCACTTCTGCACTGTCATTTTTGTCACTCATTTGTCCCAATTGCCCCTCCCCCCTTTTCCACATGTGTTTTGCTCCTTCTGGGATGTTCCACGTGTGTTTTGCTTCCTTTGGAACGTTTTCAAACCCCTCTGTTTTTAGATCGGATTACTATGAAAGCCATCCGCATGCCACTTGTGCTGGCTTCAACTCCCTGGTGTCATGTAGAGGTGAGAGTGTCATGCTAGGATCTGGAGGACCTTGCTTCAAATCCCTACTTTCCCATGGAAACTCGCTGGTTGATCTTGGGCCAGTGACACACTCTCAGTCCAACATACCCTGGCCTAAAGGGTTCTTCTGAGAATAAAATGGAGGAGAGGAGAATTGTAAGCCACTTTCCCCATCATGGACAAAAGTGGGGTATAAGTGAAGTAAAGAAATCAATCATCACTGGGTACATGGAACAATGAGCGGCCCTAAATGGGGATTCTCATTCCTACCCGCATCAAAGATACATGTAATTTGTTCAAGGGGGTTCTGGGGAGCATCACAATATAGGTGAAAAGTGGGCACAAGCATCTTGCTTGCTAAACTGTGGCAACCGACTTTTTGCACTCCACTGGAAGCAAATGCTTTGTTTGGCACCCAAAGTACTGTGCTCTAAAAGTCAATGTGTGTTATCTACCATGTGCCAGCAACTCACATATAACCACCACCAGTAAGATTAGTATGAATGACAGCCATCATGTACCCCTCATGAGTTATCTAGTCTCTGTAGCAAAAGAATGGTATTTTTTCACCTTTTTAATGTATAGTTGTGTGAATTTCTACCATGCTTTCTACTATGCTCACAGAACAATAGGAAGAGTAGATACCTCCAATTAAGTAACATAAAATTATGCCTTCATGCATAATTTTACATCCCTAAGCCACAGGACTTGAAAGCATTGCATTGAAATTGCTTTTCATTAATGCCAGATGGCATTTTTGAGGATAGGGACCACTATGCAACAAGTTAAGATAAAATTCATATTTAAATATAGGAAGATTTTTTTCCCCAGAAGGGAAAGATGGACTTGCATGAGTTTGTGGCTCCCATGTTAATTGGTCACATTAATACAAGTGGTTATTTAGTGCAAATCAGCTCTAGTGGATTATCAAAAACAACTTTGACCTTGAGAGTCTGAACTTGAGAAGACAATATGATAAGGAGCGACACACCAGGAGAAATTTTCCCTTTGTTAAATTTATATAAGTCTTCTCAGGCTTTACGCCTGGAAATCCTAAGGACATGGTTAACCTTACACATGGATTTGAATTAGCTAGTCAAATCCAATGTGGATGGAGAGATGTGGGTCAAACCAGGCCTACAGTACAAGATACCACTATGATAGGCCAAACCTCACTATGCCTTGCTTCCTGTCCAGTACTGGCAGCTTCCACCGTCAAAAGAAGCCAGTGTAGGGAGTAGCTCCCTATTATATTTACTAGATTTTTATATTACTTTTCTATTCACAGAATGCCCAATGTAGCTTACAAATGTTAAAAAGCATAAAATATAACAGCTATTGAGAGCAAAACATTAGTAAAAACACAAACAATTAAAATCCCAAGCACGGCAGTCAGATTTAAGGCCTTCTGGAACAGGTGTGTTTTCAAATTTACCTGCAGACCAATTAA